AGTGTGTGTGTGTGTATGAGTCAGGAAATATTTATCTTTTGTATCTATTACTGTGGTTTGAAACTAATTAGTTGCAGGTAGATATGAAATTCTTAACAGTGTCTCGTTTAACACTGGAGTTTGCATTCAATTCTCATAGTGTGTGTGTGTGTGTATGAGTCAGGAAATATTTATCTTTTGTATCTATTACTGTGGTTTGAAACTAATTAGTTGCAGTGCTGTGACAGCATGTGAGGGACGTTTTCATCTCTTGTAATGATGTGCTGCGAAAGAAGCAATTCTGTTACATGCTTGCACGTCATGTAAGTCCTGCATTCTGTTTATTACTTTGTGAAATTATCTTGGTTCATTTTTCTTTGTGAGGCAGCTGTGACCCGTAAGTTTTATAACAGTGATGTTATTTGGCATAACTTGTTTGTCAACTCTAAAAGGTCATATATTCCGCTATCAAATTCTTTTGGGGGCTCCTTTTTGATCGTCATGTGAAATATTTATTGTTGATTATTATTTATCTGCAGGGAATTACTTTTGAGCTTGATGAGGAGATGGCTGCAGATGATGACAGAGAAATGTTTCAGGATATCATCAACAATTCTAAGTTAAGTGAAGGATATCTCACCCTTGCTCGTGATATTGAAGTTACAGAGCCCAAGTCCCCTGAGGATATATACAAGGTGTAATTTTGGTGATATTCTGCTATAAGGAATTCTGTACCAGATATAACATCCTGTGCATGTATAAATTTACATCTAATGCTATGATATCTTATTTTTACCTGCTAAATTTTGGTTCAAATTCATGAAATAGTAAGGCATGGTCCTTTTTAATATACTTTAGTTTTTGAAGCTTTTGTTACGGTTGCTTGTCGTATCGAGGAAATTTTGTCGATAGTTATGTGTATTTTGTATCAGTGAATTCTGGTTTCATATATATTGAGTAATTGAAATGTTTCCTTGCTACTGAATTGCCCTTTCAGATTTATATGTAGTGCTTTTGTACATAGTTTATTTAATCATTTTCCACTAATATATAACACATGAGATTTTCTTACTAATTTATTAATGGACCAATTGTTTTTGATGTGCTGGTTTTTGCCAGTCAAATTTGGAAATGTACTTTAAAAGAGTTTAGACTATTAACTGAAATAATTTATATATTGATCATCAATGATGTGTCAAAAATGATTTGGGTTATTTTTTTGTGTGGTTGCTTTCTGGCTAAAGTAGCATCTGCCTCTTCTGATACTTAATTGTATTTCATTCAGAAAAAAAAATATTATTCTTATACTGGACTTCTTTTCGTTGAAATCGTTTTTGTACTAACAGAGACATCTCTGATAGTTTTCTAGTCCATGTACCAGAAACAAAAGGTTCTAGATGTGCTAGTTTCTATCTCAAGTGTGCCATTGTGTTGGTTAGCTGTCAACTTATGATTCACTCTGATTGATTTCTCCTAGGCACACTTACTTGATGGCCGGGCTAGTGCTGGTGCAAGTGTTGATTCAGCTAGACAGAACCTTGCTGCAACTTTTGTTAATGCATTTGTAAATGCTGGCTTTGGTCAGGTATACTATTTTTTATATTTTAATATTCTATTTGTTCTATTTGTGATTTGGGTTAATGATGTCTTCTATTCTTTAATATTCTATTTCCCTCACTTCCCATTCTCATTGTGCAGGATAAATTAATGACTGTTCCTTCAGATTCTTCAAGTAGTGCTTCTTCTGGAAATTGGCTTTTCAAAAATAAGGAGCATGGGAAGACTAGTGCTGCAGCTAGTCTGGTATGCGTTTTCTTATGGAGTCACTTTTATGGGTTTGGATCTTGTAAATTTCGTTTACAACACTAGTGTATTGTGTCAGGGTATGATTTTGCTGTGGGACGTTGACTCTGGACTTGCTCAACTTGACAAGTACTTCCATAGTAATGATAATCATGTCATTGCTGGTGCATTATTGGGAGTCGGAATTGTCAATTGTAGTATCAAGAACGACTGTGATCCTGTGAGTTTCTTTTATCCTTATGATTTCTGCATATGACAGTATTCCACTTAACTTAATTTATATTTTAGATCTAATTTGATTCCTTTTCAGGCAATGGCACTTCTTGGTGATTATACAGATAAAGAAGACACATCAATCAGGATTGGTGCTATAATGGGTTTGGGTATTGCATATGCTGGTTCCCAGAATGAGCAGGTGATATGTTTTTCTCTATATTTTGGAAAATCTTGTAATAATATTTTTTGAGATACACTATATGCAAATGTGTAAGTTTTTAATTTGTTTTTGCTTATTTCAGTTACGTGAGAAATTGACAGGTGTACTGAATGATTCTAAAGCATCACTTGATGTGCTTGCTTTCACTGCTATTTCTCTGGGCTTGATCTTTGTGGGTTCTTGCAATGAGGAAATTGCCCAAGCAATTATATACACACTAATGGACAGGAGTGAGTCAGAGTTAGGAGAGCCCCTTACCCGACTCTTACCTCTTGGCCTTGGTCTTCTATATCTTGGGAAGCAGGTAATCTGTTGGTCGGCAGTCTCTTGTCTTTATTTCTTGAATTGGAGTTTATTTTCTTATAACCTGAATAATCTTATTTCTTAGTTTCTGAATAACAATTGATATTAAGCGGGTTCTGTTATTGGGTGAGGTCAAAGTTGTTAAGGTATAATACTCACTCTTCATTTGTGCTTTTTTGTTACTGCAGGACAGTGTTGAGGCAACTGCCGAAGTTTCAAAGACTTTTAATGAGAAAATTAGAAAGTATTGTGATATGACGCTTCTGTCATGTGCCTATGCTGGAACTGGAAATGTCCTCAAGGTAAAATGTTATGAAGTTTTTAAAAACAACTTCTGCGGTACCTTTATATGTTCATAATTGTGTATACATGTTTTTATGTTTGTATTTTCTGGTTCTTGTAGGTCCAGAATCTCTTAGGTCATTGTTCACAACATCTTGATAAAGGTGAAACTCACCAAGGTCCTGCAGTGCTTGGAATTGCTATGGTAGCCATGGCCGAAGAACTGGGACTTGAGATGGCAATTCGATCATTAGAACATCTTCTACAGTATGGAGAGCAGAATATTCGTAGAGCAGTTCCTCTGGCACTTGGTCTACTTTGCATATCAAATCCAAAGGTAAAAAGTGCACTTTGCAACGTTAACTTTTAACAGTGTGAAAGTGAAACAAATTAGCCGTGCTCTGAAAAACATGACTTGTAGTTCAAACTATTATATAATTGTATGGGTGTGAAACGTCACTTTCGATAACTTTTGCTAAATTTTTACTGAAACATTACAGGTCAATGTTATGGATACCTTAAGTAGACTGAGCCATGATACGGATTCAGAAGTAGCTATGGTGAGATGTCAAGTCTCTTTGAACATTTGAGTCTATAAATACCATTGCTTATTTGTAGCTAAAACAATTTATATGCTTTAGGCGGCAGTAATTTCCTTGGGTCTAATAGGTGCTGGAACGAACAATGCCCGAATTGCTGGCATGCTTCGAAATCTTTCAAGTTATTACTACAAGGATACTAGTCTTCTATTTTGTGTAAGCTTTCTCTAAGTTTCCCTCCTTATTTTCTATTTCCACTGTTTATATATGGTCACCCTTTTTCTTTTACTTACAGGTGCGGATTGCCCAAGGTCTTGTGCATTTGGGAAAGGGTTTATTAACACTTAATCCATATCATTCTGATCGTTTCCTACTATCACCGTAAGTAAACATATTCTTTCTGACTGTTGGTTTCTTCAGAATGACTTATACAACTTTATTATAACATTTTCTAATCAACATTCTGTATCATTTTTACAGGACAGCACTTGCCGGACTAATTACCATGTTACATGCATGCCTAGATATGAAAGCTATTGTGTTGGGGAAATATCACTATGTTCTGTACTTCCTCGTTTTGGCAATGCAGGTTTGTTTTAGTGTCGTTTTCTCTTTCCAGTCAGACTCTTCCTTTTGCCATTTTAAGCTATTCTCAGTCACGTTCTGTAATTTGTTGCAACAGCCAAGGATGTTGCTGACTGTGGATGAGAACTTGAAGCCTTTATCAGTGCCAGTTCGTGTTGGCCAAGCAGTAGATGTTGTTGGACAAGCCGGTCGTCCTAAAACAATTACTGGCTTTCAGACCCACTCTACCCCTGTTCTCCTGGCTGCTGGGGACAGGGCAGAGCTGGCAACAGAAAAGTAATGCACCTTATGCCTTCAAATTTTTTAACACGCTACGCTTATGTTCTCTCTAATACTAACATTTATTTTTTCTTCAGATACCTTCCCCTATCGCCAATTCTTGAAGGTTTTGTAATTTTGAAGGAGAATCCAGATTATAGGGAAGAATGATGGGTGCAGATCCACAGCGGTGATGTTTTTTTTTTCTTTTTTTCTTTTTAAGTGTCCAAGTAGTTAGTTGCAATGTATGACACTGTCTAAATGTAGAAGAAATTGCTTAAAATCATTCCTTCGTTTGGATAAAATGATTCAGAGAATCTTAGCACACGACACTTTATTTTCCATTTATTATTGAGCATATTCTTATACGAGCAATCTGGTTGTGTCGACTGATTTGAAAGCCGAAGTCTAGTGGTGCTGAGATATTTTTATTTGTAAACTTTTTTAATATTGTTGGTCATCCTTGTGTAATTGACGCCTGAAAAAAATTCATAACGTCTTATGCCGATGAATGTTTTTGGACAGGTATAATGCAATGGTAATGCTATTGTCTCTGCTTTGCTACTTGACTTAATGGTATTGTTTTGTACTTTAAACAGTGAAACTCATAAGTGTAGGCTCATTGTATATGAAAGTTTCAATCATTAATTTTCTGTTTTAGATATCTATCTATTCAGGTATAATGCAATGGTAATGCTATTGTCTCTGCATGACAGCGTCGCTAATTTGCATTTGCAATAAATATAATTCAATGTTGGAAGAGTTTCCTCATTGCTCGAATTTGGTGAAAACAGGTTAGGTGGTTGGAGAGAGATTTTCACTACATAGAAATTATTAAAACATGCACTCAATACAAATACAAGTGTTTCTGAACAAATTTAAAATAGGTTATATTTTTCTCTCATTCAATTCAGGAATATTTTAAAGTCCTAGTTCCAAAAATCCTATCTAAAAGTGATTGGGACAAGATTTTCGTGGAGTTAGTCTCCAAATACTAACTTAGTTGGATTTTTTTACTTTCTTTCATAGATTTTGTAAGTAAAAGCTTAACTTACGTAACTAATATATTAGTATAATATGAAAAGTTTAATAGTGATATTTGAAATTAATAATCTATTAAAAAATTACAAACTTTTAGTATAATTAATATAAAAATTAATGATTTTTCCATTATGTAATATATATATATATATATATATATATATATATATATTTATATATACATATATTATTTTTTTCCTAATATAGTTATTTTAACTTATATTTTTAGTTATTATATTTTAAATATATTATTATAATATTTTAAAAATTCATTTCATATTTAAAAACTCTTTTTTTGTTATTACTATATATAAATCATAACTTGAATATAAATATTAATGAAATATTCAACATTATTAATTTATCATTTACACATTTAAAATTATATATTTTATTATATAAAATAACATAATGTAAGTTTATTATATTTAAAGAAATATTTTTATATCATACTTATTATTATGTTATTAAATATAATCGTTATTAATTATAATATTTATTAATTTTATTAATTTTTAAAAAATTCTTTTATATCATTTATTAAAGTAATACGTAATATATTTGTAATAAATTCTCAAACACATAAGAAGCATATGTGACAATATTGAATTAATTTTAATAAAATTCACTAAAGTTTTTTTTAACTATATATATTGATAATTCAAGAAAAATAAATAATTGATAAAATATAAGTATAAATTTAAATCATACGCTAAAAAACAAAAAAAAAAAACTACATGTAATAAAAAAAATTCATAAATCATTCATTATTTTAAACTCTTAAATTGATGTTTTGTTTAGTTTTGATTCAAGTCTATATAAATTTTTTTCACAACAAAATTAAATAACTATTTTATATACTTTAAAAATATATTTAACTAATCAAAGAAAATTAAATATGTTTAATCAGTAAAAATTTCAACGTTTTACATAGTAAGTTTATTAAGACTCTTATAAAATCTATATTAATCTTATTAAAATGTTTCTACATAATAATTTAATAAATTAAAAATATTTATATTTACAACAAAACTCTTTTTTCATTGTTATTATTTTTTCAAATTGAAAAATTAATAAAATGAGAGGTATTAAGCTTTTTATCATTTTTTGCATAACCTCCTTTACAGTATGGATTACAGTAGAGTTTAACTATTAAGTTTGAGATAAATTAGTGTGTTTCCTTACATTTATGGTACCAGCTGTGAATAAAAAAACTTGAGATGAAAA